TACACTTTTTTTCAAATCAAAATAGTGCAAAAGCACATGTCGAAAAAACACTTTATCGCGTTCCATTTTTCACAAAGCAAAAGAAATTGTTGTTTAGGAAAATAATTGTGTATGCTGACTGAATGTTATCGAGAAATGTCGAAATTAATCACAAACTACCTGTTTCGTTAGTAATGACTACTAGAACTGTTTGCATTGCCATCTAACATTTGCGGGCGGAAACTAAGTTAAGGTCCTAATATTTCCGTCAATTCTATTACAAGTGATGCCACAAGTGTTTACGGACGCAATGATAAATGATATCTACACAAAAAATAATAAAACTGTAAATACGTACTTATCACTCAGCGTGACATTCGTAAGATTCAAAATGTCGGTCGTTTATATAAACTATGTTCAAACTTGCACGTTGCATTGTTTCGACACGCAGTTACGTTATAAACATCCAAAACGCTATTGCGCTTTTTGTCGCGTCCAAAAATGATTGTTACAATACTTTTAATATTTATTATTATAATAATTATTGCGTTAGTTTGTGATTATTATGTGCATCATACAAGAGCCGGACGACTGATCGATAAAATACCGGGACCGAAGGGCATTCCGATTGCTGGCTTTGCACTTAAAATGCTAGTTTCACCAGGTAAGTGAAAGTTCCTGATATATGTGTTCATAATTAATGTGTTCCTTTTTGTAATGTGTTGTATTTTTTAAACACGGTATATTTATTCTTTTATAATAAACTCGTCTTACGACAACATTTTTATATATTTAACATTTTTTCAATAATGGACGTATGAACAATTTCCAATAAATGATATATTGTATAATAAGCTCCACGTTTATATAAAGGACCCCGCACAAAACCTATGGAAAATGGTTTTCGGTCAAATTGGCTGAAATTTCACTATGTTATAGTTTTCGCCATGCTGATAAAAAGTTATCATTGCACCAAGTCCCAAAAGTCAATATTTCCCAAGATATAAAGGGTCAAAGTAGTGAAATATGGTCATCCGCAGTAGTAAGACGTATGTTATAAGTATAAGTGATACATTGATATTTATTCACGAAATAAATAAAAATCGATTTTTATATATATATATGTAATAAATATTTAGTTCCGCAATATGCATGTATATGTATATACAGGGTGGGGCAAAAGTATCGGACCGGTGAAATATCTCGAAAAATATAAGTTTTACAAAAAAATGTTTCAGATCTTAAAAAGATCTATTGTATTTACTGATTTTAGTAGATTGATCTTGGATGGCGTTGCCAAGGTCAAAAACAGTTGTTTTCACGGCTACTCACAATCAGTTGTTTTCACGGCTACTCACAATCAGTTGTTTTCACAGCTCCTCACAATTAGTTGTTTTCACGGCTATTCACAATCAGTTGTTTTCACAGCTACTCACAATCAATTGTTCTCACGGCTACTCACAATCAGTTGTTTTCACAGCTATTCAAAATTAGTTGTTTTCACGGCTACTCACAATCAGTTGTTTTCATAGCTACTCGAAATCAAAACTGATTGTGAGTAGCCGTGAAAACAACTGATTTACCTTGGCAACGCCACCCAAGATTAATCTGCTAAAATTAGTAAATACAATAGATTTTTTTAAGATCTGAAACAGTTTTTTATAAAACTTATATTTTTCGAGATATTTCACCGGTCCGATACTTTTGCCCCACCCTGTATATACATATACATATATATTGCGGAACTAAATATTTATTACATATATATATGTAAAAATCGATTTTTATTTATTTCGTGAATAAATATCAATGTATCACTTATACTTATAACATACGTCTTACTACTGCGGATGACCATATTTCACTACTTTGACCCTTTATATCTTGGGAAATATTGACTTTTGGGACTTGGTGCAATGATAACTTTTTATCAGCATGGCGAAAACTATAACATAGTGAAATTTCAGCCAATTTGACCAAAAACAATTTTCCATAGGTTTTGTGCGGAGTCCTTTGTAGTCTTTTAGTTGACATGCATTTAGTTCACCTAAGAATAAATTAATCTGGAAAAACTGGTTTTGTAATTTTTAATTTTTATGTTGGTAAATATTTACATTTACACATCCAGTTCCAAATGATTTCCGAATAATCTTGATGTTAACCTTGATCCTCAAGGAAATTAATGCTATTGACCTTTATCGGCGCTCATTGTTTGTTAAAGAGTTATTATCCAAAAAAGTTTTAGAAGTTGAACATATTTTTTGCATACAGTGTATATGAAAATAATAATAAAAATAATAATAATAATATAAATACGGCTATATGGAGGTCGGTTATAGTATGTTTCCGAGATATTAATAAAAAAGATGCCTGTCTCTAGCCGTGTAATTGTGGGGCTACGGCCGCCAGATTCCCATGGCGAG